CTCCTCAAGAGCCTACCTTCCATGGCCCGGACAGGGTTCTATGCCAAAGGAATGGAACTGGAATAATGGGGAACTGCAACACAGGAAGGAGCAGGTTAAGCCTGTATACTTGGTCTCCCCCAGAGTCCAGGGGACCATCACTAAGGCCCTGGAACTTTCACAGAAGAGGATCCCCTTACCCTCAGGTGCTCCCATCCCCTTCTTTAAGACAAGCTGTCCCAATATCTACCCACCTTCCTGGGAAACCCACCCCAAAGCTGAGGGAAGGCTCCCAGCTCTGGCCTGTCCCTCCCACTCCCATTTCAGTCTAAACAGTAGTTATCAAAGTGCCTACAGGAGCTTTAGGAGAAAAACAAAACAAAACAAAAACCCTGATGCCTGGGCTCTACCATCAGAGATTCTGATTTAATTGCTCTGGGATAGTCTGAATGTCAGGATTTATTTTTTAATTAATAGGCTATATTTCGGAACATTTTAGGTTTATAGAAAAGTTGAGAGGAAAGTACAAAGAGTTCCCATATACCCTCTCAGCCTCTTCTCCTGCCCCCCAGTTTCCCTGTTAGTAACATCTTGTCTTATTGTGGTGTGTTTGTTAAAACCAATGAGATAGTAAAGACCACAGTGTACTTCAGAGTCCACTCTTTGTGTTGTACATTATGAAAGTTATGTAAGTATGATAAATATAAATAATGTATCACCCTTACAGTTTCATACAGAGTAGCTTCACTTCCCCAAGAAACCCCCATGTCCGCCCTGTCCATCCCTCCCTCCCCCCAAACCCCACCCTTCACCTACCCTCAACCCCTGTCAACCACTGATCTTTTTACTGTTGCCATACTTTTGCTTTTTCCAGAATGTCATAGAGTTGGAATCATATAGTATGTAATCTTCTCAGCTTCCTCATTGATTTTTAAGTTTTTTCATTATTTTTAATTGAGATGCAATTGACGTGTAATATTCTATAAGTTTAAGGTGCACAACATGTTGATTTGATACATTTGTATTGCAGTATGATTGCCACTGTAGTATTAGCTAACATCTTTGTCTCTTCACATAATTATCATTTCTTCTAGTGGTGGGAACAATTCAGATCTAGTCTCTTAGCAAGTTTTATATTTATAATAATTTTGTTGTCTATAATCACTGCACTGTGTGTTACATCCCCAGGACTTATTTATCTACTAGTTACAGGTTATGTATCTTAACCTAGGTGATTTTAATGAACAGTGATGGTCAGTATTGAATAGCCCTGGTCTAGAATTTGGTAAAGGTGGATGTAGATCTGATGCTCCATGTTTTTAAATTTAACATGGGCAAAAGTCTCGTTTTCTTTTGATATGTCCATCCATCCATCCATCCATCCATCCATCCATCCATCATTTCAGTATATGTCCAGGGCCTTCTATACCTGGGCACTGAGTTAGACAATCAGCTAAATCAACACTGTTCCTCTTCTCATGGCTCTCACAGTCCGTTGCCGGAGACAGACATTAATCAAGTTGTCATGAATGTATGTGGATGATTTTAAATTGATATGAGTGATATATAGGAACTATGTTGTGGTGGTGGCTCTCTAAGAGTAGTTGGGAGGTTTCCCAGAGGAAAGGAGATCTGAGCTGAGATCTGAAGTTAAGGAAGAACTAGCTAGGCCAAGGAGGAGGAAAGAAAGCTCGGGAAAGAGACCAACCTGTGCAAGACCCTTGTGGTAGGAGGGAGCCTGGTGCTTACCAAGAACTGAGGTGGTGATGTTGGGAGTGAGGAGGTACACAGTACAAAATGAAGCTGGAGAGGAAGGCAGGCCTGGATAATGTGTCCTGAAAAGATCAGTCTGCCTACTGTGTAGAGGAGGGATGAGGGTGGAGAAACCAGAAAAATGGAGAAATCAGTGGGAAGGCCACCGAGTGTCCAGACAAGATAGGATATGATGATGGCTGGGATGGAAAGAAGCAGAGGAATGGTAGCCACGAGGATAGAAAGTAGCAGATGGACAAGAGGGATATGTAGGAGAAGAGAGGTGTCTTGAGACATTCAAGGGAAGATGTGCAGTAGGCAGACAGACATGTGGTTTGGAGCTCAGAGGAGAGGGGAGATTTGGAGATGGAGATGTGGGCAACCTAGGGGTATATATGGAAGCCATGGATATGATAAAATGGCCTAGACACGGAGCATGGGGTGAGAAGAAACAGGGTCTGGGACTGAGTCCTGGACAACTGTTAATATTGGGTAAAGAGGAAAACCCCAAAAAGGCACAGGAGCAGGATCAGCAGGGAAGGTGAAAAAGGAAAACCAAGTGTGGCTTTATAACAGAAGAGTGTGTGTGGTTTCAAGAACTAGGGAGTGACCATCAACATCTCTGATACAGAGGTGGTCAAATCAGATGAAGAAAATGAGGGAAGATAGTCCTTTCAAGAATTTATCTGTGTAGGAGGTTGGGGAACATGAATACAACTCCCTTACCAGGGTCAGCTGCTTCATGAGCTTTCCTTTAACTGTGGAAAGTTTTCCTTAACTAACAACCTGCACATGTTCCAACAATAGACATAAACTGAGGGGGCGGGGGGTGTGAGGCATGGGTTGTATGTACCCAATTTAGAACTGCATTAAAGAACATCTCTGAGTAAGCATCATGTCCGGTGAGTGGACCATGTTACCAGTCCCCAGGTAGCATTTGATTTCACCTTAGAAGCTTATATTACCTTTTAATAGCTTTTCCTTTTGTTACCCCTATGAGAGGTAGGCTTCTACTATTTTTATTCCCCTTCTCCATGAATGGGAGAGAGAGAAATGACAGGGTGTGGTCGATTTCAGTCAAAGAAAAAAAAAAAGTGATTCTGCAGAGGACCCTGTTAATATCCTCCATTGTCCCCTAGCCTCCATCTTCACAAACTTTTTAAAAGACTTGTCCGTACTTTTTCACATTCCACCATTAATCTACCTTCTCCTTCATGGGCACTGGTCTCCTCAAGGTCACCAACAGTCAACAAACCTCTACACCAAAGCCAGATTTCACTGAATTTGACACTTGATCACTTCCTTCATGAAACTCTCTCTCCTGTCTCCCTCAGTGTCCCACTCTCCTGGTTTCTCCTGTTAATAAGAAATCATCCAGACTTTGGAAATAGGAAAAAGGAATAGGAAAAAGGAATAGGAAAAAGCACAGCAGTGATGTCCTCTCAGAGTAGTGTCAGGTGTTATTCAATGTGTCAGTTCCACCTGGGGATCATTGATTTTCTAGGGATGTGTACCTTTGCTTGACTTCTGATTTACTACTGAGTATTTTACAACTCTGTAAGAGTAGAGGCTAATTCATAGGAAACTTATAGTGAGTAAATGATTCTTGTCAAATAGCAATGCAAATATTTTCTGTCTGATAAAGGGGAATCCCAAAGGTTGCACTTTCTTGCATTGTAGGGCTTTAACCTTTATTGTCAAGTTCATTTCAGCATTCCTTTGACTGACCAACTCTGTATTCATTCTCAAATTCTCTTATAAATTAGTATTAATATCTTACTGATGTTTACATTAATCAGTGAATAAAAGCTTTGACATGTGTATGTTTTATACTTGTCACTTTCTTTTTTTACTTTTTGAAAATTATTCTTACCCCTCTTAATTCTGTTAAGTGGCTTGCCAAAGTCACACATGGTATAAGGGGCAGAGCCAGTCAGTTTGAAACCCAGACATGTGTGATGCTGATTAATCCCACCCTTGGTTTATAATTATTTATTCCTCCATTAATAGAGCTATTAGGGCCTCTGAGAACCTAGGGTCCCACTTACACCCTCTTCAGATGGGAAGACCGGCCCAGAGAGTGGCCAGATCTAGCCCAAGGTAACACAGGAAGGAAGGTGCAAAATCAGGACTCAAAAGCAAAAACTGACCAGTGGTGCCCTCTGGAAGCCTGTCTCCCTGTCTCTCCCTGTCTCCCAACCAGGATATCAGAAATGTTGCAAGAAACCATGCTCAGGAGTTTACAGTGAACTGAGCCTTGGAGAGTCAGGAAATTTGGATTCAAGCTCTGGGCTTTGTGCAACTCACTACTCTTCTGGAGTCTCAATATTTATGTATTTCAAATGGGCCAATTATTGGGAGACTTGAAAGAGACACCAAGGTTGGCAAGGCAAGGAGACAGTAAACCTACCAATAGGCTAGAAGTGAAGAACCAAGACTCTGGAGCCTTAAGCTCAGATTCAGGTTTTCTTTCTTAAACAGCCTGTCACCTGGGTACCTAGGTGGCTCACTCACTCAGTTGAGCATCCCACTCTCCATTTCAGCTCAGGGGTCTCGATCTCAGGGTTGTGAGTTTAAGCCCCACATTGGGCTCCATGCTGGAATCTATAGAAAAATAAAAAATAGGGACGCCTGGGTGGCTCAGTTGGTTAACCGCCTGCGTTCGGTTTGGGTCATGATCCCAGGGTCCTGGGATTTGACCCCTATCAGGCTCCTTCCTCCGTGGGATCCCTGCTTCTCCCTCTGCCTCTGTCTGCTGCTCGCCCTGCTTGTGCGCACTCTCTCGTTCTCTGACAAACAAATAAAGAAAATCTTAAACAATAATAAATAAATAATAGCCTGTCACCTTGGATAAATTTCTATGCCTCAGTTTCCTAATATGTGAAATGGTGCTAGTAATAGCACCTATTCAATAGAGTTGTAAGATATCAAGCAGTCAGAACAGTCACTGACATGTAATGATCATTTAGTAAAGCTGACTTTTATAACATGTTTAATGCTCAAGGCGTACCTATTCTCTAAGTGAAGGAAACATCAATCTCCCCCAGGCCCCGCCCCCTCGGCAGGCCCCGCCCACGTCCCCCCTAGGGCCCTCCTCTTCACCAGGCCTCGCTCCGGCTGTCCTGGGTTCCTCCCGCCACCAGGGGGAGGGGGCGCTAAGGGGGAGGGGTGTGGAGCTTCTTGCCGAAGTAGGCGACACTCTAGAGAGCAGCGGCTACTGCTCTGTGGCCAGGGGCGGCGGCGCTCTAGCCGGCGAGTGTACGAGGCGGGTTCTCAGTGGTGCGGCCGGCGGGAGGCTATGGCGGCCGTACGGGGCCTGCGAGTGTCGGTGAAGGCAGAGGCCCCGGCGGGGCCGGCTCTAGGGCTCCCGTCGCCTGAAGCGGACTCTGGTTTGGAGCGTGGCGAGCCGGAGCCCATGGAAGTGGAGGAGGGCGAGCTGGAGATTGTGCCGGTGCGGCGCTCGCTGAAAGAACTGATCCCGGTACGGGCGGGGGGCGGGGGCGAGGAGGAGGTCGCCGAGCTACTTCCCCGCTGCGGAGCCGGCCCGCCGGAAAGGGAGACGGCGGGCGCCTGGGCCGGGGGAAGTCAGGGGAATGGGAAAGAGGGGAGTGAGCGCTCAGGGCGCGGAGGCGCAAGGCTTGAGGAGAGACGGGGGGCGGGAGAAGGGACGCCGGGGCGCCCGGAAATGGGTGTTGAGGGGGCTGAAGAAGATGGGAGAGACTAAGGGGTATTTGAGGACACTCCCTTCACTGCTTCTTTGAGCCAGGCTGTGCAGGGGTGTGAGCGAGGAGGGGCTGGAGTTGTCTGGGGGCTTGAGATAAAGGCGGGGCCCGGGGCGGGAACGGGAGGAACTGTCGGGTGACGCCTGCCTCAGGGTCTCCGTTGGAGCTGATGTTTGTTAAAATATAACACTCGCGGTTTTTCTTAGAGGGTTGGTCTTGTCAGCAGCCGAAACTCGGTGTTTCTTTTGTGACTTGGGAGTCATCTTGTCCCCATTCCACCTGATCTGTAGCACCTACACCGTGGCCCCAGCATGTGACCCTTAGTGAGACCAAAACATAAGCAAACCAGCAATAGTCCTTGGTCCGTCTTTCATCACATGGGGAGGGGCGGGGAGAGGTGTTTTGCTTTTGGTCTTATGGTCCTATGTCCTGTTCTTAGGGCCGGTCTCAGGCCTGCATGGCTTTTATGTACTTAGTTTCTCGTCTAACATGAACTACTTTTAAAACCACATGTCACCAAGTCTGGGTTTTAAACTGAAGTTGTGGGAAAAGGCGAAGAAGATAGGATCACTAAAGATAGCAAATGATGACTCTGGTAACAACAAATAACATAGTGGCATTTTACCATTTACTACATTATGTTGTTTAAATTTCACTGCAGCTGTGAAGTAGATATTATTCCTTTAGTGCAATATGGAGTTATTGCATCCCCCACTAGGTGCCAGACATAATCCTAGGCACCTGATCAAGGTCAAGATCAAATTGCCCCGGGAGTTTGTTTTAGTAAGAGGACACAAATACAGAATTTCTGTGGTAATTTGCTGTGAAGAAGGTAAAACAAGTTAATGGGACAGAGAGTGCGGAAAACAGGGTAAGTGTGCAGAGCCAGAAACCAAATGGGATAGAATGATCAGGGAAGTCCTCTGATAGTGACATTTAAGCTGAAGCCTGAGTGACAAAAAGGAGCCAACCATGTGCAGGTTTGGAAGAAAGTATTTCCAGCAGGAACAACAGTAGGTGCAAAGAATCCGAGATGGGAACAAAATTGTTTTGTTGGAGAAGTGTAAAGTTCTGTAGAGCAAATAGGAGAGCAGTTAAGGAGGTCAGGAAGGTAGGCAGATACCATGGAGGAAACCCAAGCCCAGAGAGGCCAAAGGAATTGTACAGTGGCAAGTAATTAGTGAATCTCAGAGCTGTGACTTCAGTCTTTGGCTTCCAAATCCCATCCTCTTCATTGCACTGTGCTATGTTTTCCCAGGAGGTCTAGATGAGTCTGGACTTTCTGTATTTTGGTAAAGACTTGTGCTCCACCTGGTGGCCTTACATGATGGATTTGTTTTGTGTGTGGCTGGGGAGATGAGTGAGTGTGCCTTACTTAACTTGGACATTTTTCATGAAAGCCTGTATTTTCATTTACATAAATACCTTCAGCAAATGGACTTAGTTAAGGTTTGGGACAGGGTCTGATCTAGATAAGACTACTTCTTAGAGTGGTTGATTGTGCATTACCTGGTGTTACAGAGACAGGCTTCCTCATGAATAAAGGGTTGCCAGGGTGAGGAAGGATTGCTGAAAGGAATGACTATCCAAAAGGAATCTGTTACAGGGCTGACTTTTATCACGAGTTTTTCTTCAGTTCCTGTTAGCATTTATCACTCTTCCCCTCGTGTTAGGACACAAGCAGAAGGTATGAAAACAAGGCTGGCAGCTTCATCACCGGAATTGATGTCACCTCCAAGGTAAGACAGACCATAAATTATTTATTCATTTTGATAAGCTGGTGAACTTAATGAACTTGGTCCGTAGGATTTGTGAAACAGCAGTTATTCTTTACCTCCTTTTTTCTTTTGTTGCTTCATTAAGGCCTTTTTTAATTTAAATTTTGTATTACACAATAATATCTTCATGCATCCTAAAAACATATAGGCAGCATTTGTGTTCTTACATTTATGAAAAGATAAAATCCCTGTACCTAGTTGCCTGTGCTTAGCCATATTTAAGAAAAAGTTCTTCACTGGGGATGCTTTTTTTATGTTACATCAGCTCTTTAAAAATGTGTTTTTAAATACTGTTTTTAATGTTATTTCCACTTTAAATGAGACAGAACATGAAAAGTATCTGGCATATAGTAGGCTGATAGTAAATGTCTTTATTCTTTACTGATTGCAGGCTTAGAAAAATAGGATGTCCTGATTGTGTGGCTGTCTAAACTTTGAAAGCCAAGTCAGCTGAATTACTCTCAGTACCTGGGAGAGTATTGCCTTTTTTCTAGTGACTGCTATTACTAGGTTACCAGCTTTCCCGTAACTCTTTACAGAGCCTAACCTATTGTTTTCCTTATTATAAACAGGATACATTTGTTGCTTTAATTGGTGGTATCCAACTTAAACATTCATTCTGATTTTAATGTGTGCAATTAAGTTTAGAACAGAATTTTGAATTATAATTGAGTAATGTTTAGCTATATTGGGTGCATAAAAACAAAAATAAATATGTCATGCTTACCTTTTTGTATTTTATCTGGGTTTCATTCTCAGATTGCTTAAAAGCCAAAAGAAAGAACTAGTCATCTTTTAGACAGGCAAGGAAATAGAATAAAGTGAAGATATTTTCTTACTGTAATTGAAAAAGTAGATTGTTCTGTTTACTTTTGTACAGTTAGCCATTGTGTGAAACATGTATGAGGGAAAGGGTAGTAGCTCCAGAACTGGGACTTAAGTTGTTACTAAGGAAAGCTAGATTTGTTGTTTGCACTGGGAAGACTTCAGTGAAGAAAATTAGCATAACTGTTGGGAAATAACAAAGTGTTGCTGCTTTACCAATCCCCACAAGCTTTCTTGTAGTCAGACCTTCAATTAGTGTGGCAAAGTCAGTGTACAATTAGTGAAGAGTTCCTAAGAGCTATCAGAAACCCATAGTTGGACCTGGACTGATTTTAGCTCTTGGAGAAAAACTTATGAAGCTGATTATTTTTTCAGGGAAGTATCTGTGCTTCTTGTCACTTAAAGATGAAAACCGGCAATTCCATGGACACAAGCCTGGAATAGAGGAGAGAGTTTTTTTGCTTCAAATTTATTTTTAAACAGGGAAAACGCTTTAGGAAGTGGACTGCTCAGGCAGACATAATGTGATAGATGTGATTACCATGCACACAGATGATGTGAAATGGGGGTGGTGGTGGGGCTTCTAAAAATAGTACTGAGATCAGAAGATCTGCACCCCCACCACCAGCCAGAGTATCTCCAGCAAACCTTTTTACTTTTTTGTATCTCAGTTTCTACACCTGGAAGATTGGAGTGAGATTGTTTAGTTGTAATTTGTTTGCATGATTGCTAATAATCAGTAAAATGTCAGAGAACCAAAACATTCATTACTCATTGAATCATGAAGATTATTACAAATTATAGCAGTATTAGTATATGCTCTGCCAGTCATTGACTGAATATCCATTTCTCTGCAAAAATTATTAAAGGCACAGTGTTGGTTATTTCTTCTGATTTACTTTAGGATTGTCACTGAAGCATTGTGTTGCATTTATGATTTAACTTTCCTCCTCCATGTGTCACTTCTTTGGCCTTTTCTGTACCTTCTAGGAAGCAATTGAAAAGAAAGAACAGCGAGCCAAGCGCTTCCATTTTCGATCAGAAGTAAATCTTGCCCAAAGAAATGTAGCCTTGGACCGAGACATGATGAAGAAAGGTACAATGTGTTGGGGGTATTTTTCTGCATTTTCCCAGAGAATGGGTTTTCCCTGCCATGGCCTTGTGCTTCTGGCCTTCCAAACACTCTGAAGAAAAGGGACTTGCCAAACCTCCATTTCTGAGTGATGTGTTTAAAGTTGAGCTGCTGGGGCATCTGGGTGGCTCAGTCCGTTAAGCATTTGCCTTCAGCTCAGGTCATAATCCCAGAGTCCAGGATTAAGCCCCACATCAGGCTCCCTGCTCAGCAGGGAATCTGCTTCTCTCCTCTGCCCCTCACCCCACTCTCATGTTCTCTTTCTCTCTCAAATAAATAAATAAAATCTTAAAAAAAGAAAAAAATGAAGTTGAGCTACTGCTAGCTGTGTCTTAGATGCTGTAGCTGGAAGAGAGATCATCTTTTCAGAAAGTCCAGAGATGGTTACCCGGTTAGTGGCAGAGCTGAGATTAGAACCTGTACTTCTACAGAATCTTACTCATTTTCTGCTTTTATACTGGAAGTGTCCACTTTTCTTTGCCTGTAAAAGTGTGGGACGTCTGGGTGGCACAGTCGGTTAAATATCCGACTCTTGGTTTTGGCTTAGGTCATGTTCTCATTTGGTCAGGAGATCGAGCCTCATGTTGGGCTCTACGCTCAGTACAGTCTGCTTAAGTCTTTCTCCTCCTTCTGCCCCTTCCCCCCCACATGCTTGTTCATGCACACTCACTCTCTCTCAAATAAATAAATGAATCTTTTAAAAAAATGTAATGGAAGTGTATCACACTGATGGTTTTTTTTTAAGGGGAGTCAGAGGAATACTGGGATTTTAGGGGAAAGCCATTAACATTTGTGTGATCCAGATTCGTAATTTTATTTTTGTGTTTTAGTAAGGTAAATATTTTGCTTTCTAGAGCTCACCCTGAGGTATATATAGTAATCTGCCCTAGTCTTCAAAAGCAATTTATAAAAAAGGAAAAATTAATACTTTTTCAATTCACACCCATATTATTCCACTCTAATATAAATGCATCAATACAAATGGTCTCCTTCTCTAGTATTTGCAAATTTGGGTATTTGAAGGGCTTAATAGGCATCCCTCTAAATGCATGTTAAAGGTCTCTGCTTTGATGTGTGAGTTTCTCTTGTTGGGAACTTGCTGTCTTACCAGGCACTATGTTAATTAGCACATTACACATTTGTTTCTTAATCATTTCTCACAACAACTCTATGAGGAATATATTTTTATCCCTATTCTACAAAGAAAGAAAGAGGCTCAAAGAAATTTAATAAATGCCCAGGGTTACACAGCTAGTACAAGTAGAGTCAGGATTTGAACCCCGGTTTTCTGACTCTAAAGCCTTGCCCTTAATTACTTTGCTCTTTTGCCTTATAGTATGTATATGATACCATAAACCCAAACCTCCTCAGTCCATCCCACTGGATAGAGTAGTTTGGATACACACTCAGCTCTGGATGCTGCTTTACTCTTTTTCTGCATCATGAGTTCAGGTTGGAAATAGGACCTTGGTTCCTGTGCAGGCTGGGTTTCCAGGCATCTGCTTGAGTGGATTTCTGTTTTAGGAAAACAGAACAGCTATGCAGCTTGGCATTCATGTCTGTACAATCTGGGCTCAGGTAGACCTCTGAGGCCTCTTACAACTCTGCCTTTAAACACCATAGTTTTACCACAGCTATTTACTTCTAGTCCTTTGAACATTTCTTGTGATATCCTTTTTTTTTAAGATTTTATTTATTTGTCAGAAAGAGAAAGCGAGCAAGTGTGCACACAATTCAGGGGGGAGCTGCAGGCAGAGGGAGAAGCAGCTCCCCACTGAGCAAGGAGCCCCATGTGGGACTCGCTTTCGGGACCTTGGAATCATGACCTGAGCCAAAAGCAGATCCTTAACTAACTGAGCCACCCAGGTGTCCCATCTTGTGACATCTTGCTCTGATCTTCTTCATGCCTTTCAGTCGGGTGATTAGCCGGCTCTTCCTCTCATCCCATGCTTTATCCTGTTTGGCTGTCACTTCCTCCATAAAGCATCCCTAATCACCCACTCAAATTTCTCTCCTACTTCTGTTGGAACTCTTTAGCATGCTAAGCCCTCCTGGAATTCAGTCTCAGTTTCTTTGTGAATGTGGGCAGGTTATTGAACCTTTTTAGGTCTCAGTCTCCTTGTTTATAAAGTGAAAATGATACCTACCTGAAAGAGATCACTTTCAGAGTTAAGTTTTAATTAAAAAAAAAAAAAAAAAGTTTTTTTTTTTCCTTTTTTTTTTTTTTTTTGTTTTTTTGTTTTTTTTTTTTTGGAAGAGCAAACCTGATTTCGTGGTTCTAAAGATACTTCTAAAAAGCAATAGTTCAACCTCAATGTTGGCTAGAGCAAGTTGCTCATTACAACATGATTCTCATGTAGGAGGGAGCACCACCTAGGATAGCATTGCTGAACTCTGGAGAACTCTGGTGCTTATCCATATCAGTTTAAATTAGAATGGGGGGGGTTGTAAAGGTTCCAGAGATAGTTCTTTCTTTTGTGTCTCCCCTAGTAATTCTACTGTATAGTCAGGATTGAGAGCCTTTACTCTTATGGTTAAGAGCCTGGGTTCTGAAGCCTAACCTGTCACTTTCTAGTTCTTTGACCTCGGGCAAGTTATTTAGCCTCTAAACTTGAATTTCCTTATCTGGAAAGGCAGATTAACAGTAATTTTTATATGGTTATTGAGAGGCTTTACTAAAATGTTACAGTTCTTAGGATGACATATATAGTAAGTGCCCAATAAATGTTGTAATTATCTAATGTTCTCCATCTCAGGCAATCATCTAAGTGGCCTAGCCTCTTGGGAGAATGGGGACGTTGGAATAAGTATCTTGACTCCTGTAGCTGCACCAGGTGTCAAGTTATTTTTCCTCCTCTTTTTCCCCCCCCTTTCTTCTTCTTCTTACTCCTCTTCATTCCAATAATAATAAAAGATACCACTTGATAAATGCTTATTATGTGCTGGTCACTCTGCTATGTGGTTAACTTATCCTTTGACGAATGCTGTGAGAGAACAGTATTCATCATTTGTTTTACTGATGAGGAAACTAAGGTGCTGAGTTTGAGAAGCTCACTCAGATCCTACAGCTAGGTAAGTAGCAAGACTGGAATTTGAAGGCTGGTCTGACGGAGGCCTGTGTTCTGTGACCTTTCTGCCAGCATTCAGGGACATAATTTGGGATATATTGCACGAGACCATTCTGCATCAAGAGTTCTTGCTATTCTTGAGTGATTCGGTGTCAAGCAGCTTTAGTCTCCTTATCCCCAAGATCAAAGCTCTCATGTTTGGAAGGGACTTAGAGGTTATCTAGACCAACCTCCTACCCAGTGCTGCAGGCCTTTTGGCAAGGTTCTCAGTGCTCTTTTGGCCTTTGCCTGAACATATCCTAGTGGTGGCGCAAGAACTATTTATGAAGTGGTCAGTCTTATATTTGGATAAGTCCTTGTATTGAGCAGAAATTGCTTTCTAATAATTTCTGTTAGTTACTTTGTGACTCTTAGAACAACATTAAGTCCTTTCCTTATTCACACAGTAAGCCTTCTGGTGAGAGAATTGGTAGGCTGTGCCCTAAACTCTCTTTATGTGACATGACTTTCTGGTCTCCTTCCTCTAGACTCTTTCCAGTCTCAAAATGCCCTACATAAGGGGAGGTGTAGATTCCAGACATGGTTGGATTCTGGGGAGTGTGGCAGGACTGTTACTGTAGTCTCTATCCTACCTATTTCATAGTGTTGTATTAATCTTCTAGTGCACCTGAGCACCCAGGGCTTTTCCCCAGGGATCAAGAGTCTTCCCATCTTGTACTTGAAACATTTTTTAAGAATTACCTTTTTATTTATCCTTACCAATTTACATCTTGTTGATTTCAAGACTGTTTCAGCCTATTGTGTTGATTTTATCATAACTACCTTTAAACATTTTAGCTATACCTAATCTACACTTTGGTATACATGGCTTCTGCATCTGCATCTGTTGGTAAGTCTTAAACAAGATAATCCTGATGTTAGTTGTTTAGATTTTTATGTTTATTACATTCATTCTCTTACATTAGTCATTAGTAATTTACTATTTATCTTCCATGTTTGTTCTTTGGCAGGTTGTGCTCCCCTAAACTCTGCTGCCTTTTCTTTTTTGGGGATCACCTCTCATAGTTTGAGCTGTTATACTTAGTGTATTCCAAAGTTTTTGATCATTTTATTTTTATTTTTTTTAGGATTTTATTTATTTATTTCAGAGAGCGAGAGAGAGGGAGAGTCAGGCTCCGCAGGGAGCCCAACACACAGGGCTCTATTCTAGTACCCCGGGGTCATGACCTGAGCCGAAGGCAGATGCTTAACTGACTGTGAGCCACTCAGGTGCCCGAAGTTTTTAATCAAAGGCCTTGGAATTGACTACTTTTTCTCTGGATTTTCAGAAATCTGCTTTCCTAAAAACCTGAGTTTTGTGTCCTGCTATCTGTCATTCTTTGTCTTCTTTCCTGCTAGGAAGTCAAAAGATGATTCCCTCACCACCTTGCTTTTAAGTTAGTACTCAGTAAATGTCCAGTCCTCATTCCCCAGTTCATGTTTTCAGTGCCACATCAGCAATTAGCCCTTTCTCATTGGTTGGACATAAATCTAGGTGCCTTTTTTGTTGTTTTATTTTAGGCAGTGACACCAGCAAGGTGAAGAAGTATTGAGCATCCTTTTTTTGGCAGTCTTCCATCAAATCTTGAACTTAACAAAGTTTCCATCTCCAATGGATCTTGCTGCTGTCATTGTCAGTCAGTTTGGTTCTCTTTTGAGAATGAACCTTTTTTATCCTCCAGCTGACTGAGAGTAGTTTTTGTCTGGCTTTTGCATCCCTTTTTTATATCTTTACCTGCTTCTTTTGACCAAGATTGTCCATTGCCCATTTCTAGATTTTTATGTCATTCTCTCTTCTTCAAAATATAAACATCTGAGCCTAGAAGCTTTGTTCCTTCTACTCTTTTCCTTTTGTTT